GTTATATGAGTCACTGTTACCACCCAGCCTTACAAGCCATTCCGTACCATGCCATCGATGAAGAAAAACCAACTCAGTCCTACATTGGTCTCATTGGCAAGGCAATTCTAAGCTCTCCACAACAGAAACTTGTGCTAGGCGACATCTACAGCTACATACTGACAAATTACCCTTACTTCAGGAATAAAGGACCAGGATGGCGGAACTCAATACGCCACAACTTATCGTTGAATGATTGCTTTGTGAAAATGGATCGTTCACCTAACGGCAAGGGACACTTCTGGGCAATCAACCCGATGAACTACGACGACTTCAGTCGGGGCGAATACAAGAGAAAGAGAGCTCCAAGAAGAAATCGAGAATTTTCTACAAACGCAAAAGGTTTTATGAAGACAAACGAACATGATAGCAAGTTTACAACACAGGACAAAATGAACCTTTACACCGCTGGCAATCATATTGGACTGGAAAAAAGAGGTTTCCACATAGAAAAACTTTTGTCTGACACTGGAAAGAAGTACCAAAGAAGTAAAACCAACAGGATGATAACAGAAGACAAGCTATTATAGAATTATTTGTCTGCAAAACAAGAGCACTTTTACCAAGCTTTGGAGGTATTGTGTAGGTCTTCGTTGTTTGGAGACGCTGGGCAACGGAAACTATTGTTGTAAAGCAAAATACTCCCGGTAGGAATTGTGCTCATCTTCGGAGTAAGGAGAGCCAAGAAGACAGACGTTTACAAAATTATATAGGTTAGGAGCCGGTAGATAAATGCTGCCTATAATAAGTATTAGGATATTTCTAGTGAAAAGAGAAAGAGACAATAAAATGAGCATTCAATAAAAGCTTAATTTATCTCAGTGGCGCAGAAACCACCGGCTGTAAATTGTGTTCTGTTTCATCGAAAAGTTACCATCATTCAGTGTTAACGACGTTTCAGATGTAAATACTCTCTGAAGATGAGAATAGATAAAAAATTGATAAGCACTTGGATTTGACTAATACTAGGCGAGAATTTAAAGAATGCTGGCAGGTAAACAGGCCAACTCAAGGGTTCTATAAATCGTATGAAGTTTAGTGAAGTGTTTTTTGTTAATTTACCACTGGAAATTTGGCATTACATAACACCGCTTCTGCGATCACAAATGTAAAGTACCGTCAATATTCTTCTTTTTCCATCTTTATTTGCATTGTATAGTTTTGTAGTTAATCGTGAAGCTGAAAAAATAACCAGGAAAAAAAAAAAAACAGCACTGAATGAATTTGAACGGTAACGAGACGACAAGACCAATAATACTGATGTTGAGTCCACGTCCTCGGACCAATTCATACATCAGTTAATACCCTTTGGTGACGGCTTCTGTTACTAAAGTTGCGCCGTGGCGAAAAATTTTTAATTTTGGTTGCTTTATCGTTTTGTTAATTGGTTTAATTCTTTTCTATGTAACTAACGATAGTTTTGTTTGAGGTAAATCGTGGATTACTTCACAATTCTAAAATGATAAATAAGCGATGCACTGGAACCGTTTATATCGTACTGAGAACGTAAGAAACAAAAATGCTGGTTCAAGAAAACTCTGAATACAGTATGTGCCACGGCGGATATACTGATCATATTGGTTTTATTCGAAAAAAACTGACTTTGTTTTTTCGATCACAATGTAAAAAGATTTGATTGGTAGATATAGTGCCTATTGCGGCTCATTTAGAATTGCCGCCCTCACTTCACCAAGCGTATGTATGTACTGAATTGGAATGCTGCGCTGTTTTTAAGATGATCTGGGTTACTCAGTCCATATAATCTGATTTAAGTATTTCTTGAGAATAAAATGTTTTGTTTATCCACGCTTTATGAGTTCAGGGAGCTAGTTTGGACGTCACGACACGACTAAAAAATGCCGAGCCCGTACAGACCGTATAACGCTTTAAATCTCAGCCTATCACCGACTTAATTCACTTTGGGTTAAACATTATGCTGCTCAAGGAAAAATACGTTGAAAGTAAACAGCAACAAGACGGGGATCCAAATTGAGTGTCGAGTGTTTAGAAGCTCTCGACCTCATATTTATAAACTTTACCTTTATGACATGGTAATTTTCAATAATTAGCTGATACATTCATTCTGTATAGGCACGCCTTAATTCAAACCTATGATCACTAACTTCTCGGCGTTTTTATTTCGAAGCATAGTCAGTTTCAACCAAAGTTAAAATAATCGATGATATCCTTTTACAATGAACACTGGCACAGTAGGTGAACTTGGAAGATAAAACCTCGAGGAGGCCATATTCACAGGCGAGAATCTGCTATCCATTGGCTTAAACCTGGAGGTGATAGAATCCTCTGATTTTAAAACTGTCAACATCAACGCCGCTTGACGATTACCTGCAGCACGCTAGAGCACAAATGAATTTGGCACAAGTGAACAAGCTGTGATATTGGTTCAGAGCACGCGTGTTTTTGCGTAATTGACTAATAATGCAATGGTATGGAAGAAACAATCAAACGCCTCATTTTCGTTGGGTCTTAAAACGCAAGCATCACATTACTTAACTGGCAGCAAATGGAGGTTGTATTGTTTGGATCCAAGCGACTAAAATATGAGAGATTATTATCCCCCATCGTAAACCAAATTCTGGGATATTTCCATGTTCTCGTTATTACTATGAGCTAATTATTTGTAATTAGCACCCCATGGCTTGCGTTTGGCTTTTTCGTTTATTGGAAGGCGCTAATGACAACAAGTAGAAAACAGTATTGACTTCCGTTTAAAGGGTTTGTCCACATCACTAGGTTCAGTTCTCTTTTAAAAATTTGGACTCGAGGAAGCATAAGACATTCAAATTGGAATTATCGGGAAGAAATATTTTGAAAGAATTCGTCAGTGACTGTTGTGCCTGGCAGGTTGTATGATAAGCTATATATCTTTAGATGCGTAATTTGCTCACTAAATTCATTATTAAAAATACCTCCTAGCTCTGCCACTCACGTTTGTATTGTGTGTGGTTCATTGATCATAGTGATTGACGTGCTATTTGTTTGGCATTGTTTGTCTGAAGTGCTAATGGTAACGTTATTGTTTACTAATGGAAGGGTCTGGCAAAGGGGCGTGGTAATTTGGCCTCCAAACAAAATGATTAGCTTGTTGTTTGGTAAAAATGATGTAAATTTCAGAACTGGTGCTTCACTGTCAGGATTTAATACTATGCACCAATGATTATGTGACTAACTAGAATAATGACACTGTTTGAAGGCCTTTTTCATTCAGTAAAACTGTTCAGTTTAAATTTTCAACTCTCAAGTAGCAAATGGAACAGCATTTTCTGCCTGACCAGTGCGTCGATACAGAAAACGTTTTCGAAATTTTTGAAAGAGAAGACGACGTCGTTATGTATACGTACAGTTTTGATAATATTTTTCCAAGAGTTTCCATTCCATTCAATTTGGTCTCGACACTTTTCGGTTGAAATGAATGGTTTGAACTAAATTCAATAATTTCGGACTTGTCGTAATTTTCCAAGGGAATCAGTACATACCATTCGCTTCCACGCCTAGATTTCCGGAATACGAACGTTTCATATTGATTTTCATAACGACACAACTGTGTAGAAAGCTGGTGAATTTGGCGACGCAGTTCTGTGTAAGCCAAAATAAAAACGCGAGGATAGTTAGCGAGAAATAACTTCCTCTGAAATGATCTTCGCATAAGCACTGTCTGTTCTTTTTGTCAAGTATTGTATTTTTAGGTGACGTAAATATCATTCTGTTACATTATTGTTCGAAACTAATCACGCCGTAAACTCTTCGAGTGGACTTATCAATCGTTAGCCTGCGAGCAGGCTCACGTTGGAGCACAAGCGCGCGCGGCGTATCCGCGAGCGCGAAATCGAGCGGCGAAGCCGCGAGACGAGTAAGTGAAACTTTCTTGGCACCTCTTCACCAGACTCCTAACCGCCGGATTGCTTTGCTCTTTGCCGCTCGCGCGCGACTCAAGTGAGCCTGCACGCAGGCTGATCAATCGTTACAATGCACTACTAAAGTTTCCTTTGTCGTCATTGGCCAAAACTCGTCACATGTTACATCCTTGTGAAGGTGAATTAATCAACATGACACGAGCGTGGGAAAAAGAAAAATTCTGC